AAAATGTTTTTTTTTTTTTTTTTTTTTTTTCAGAATAGCTTTTAAGTGATTTCTCTGTGTCATATGAATGGTGTTTATTTTACTTTTATTTAATTTTATTTATTGTTATTATTTTATCCTTTTTATACATGTAAAGCGCTTTGAGATGTACCTTTTAAAGGCGCTATAGAAAATAAAGTGTGCCCATGTTGCTAGTCATTTCGTCTAGTTCATGTGTACTTATGGGTACACAGAGCAATTATATTATTATTACGAAACAGTCATGAAAGTGAACTCTATTTAAATACACTTAAGTGGCCTTATTTCATTAATAATATATTATCTGCAAATACAGTTTTTTTTAAATACTTTTAAGCTTTAAAAAATACACTACAAGTACACATTCAGAACAATTAAGCGCATTTCTTTTTCACAAGAATGGACATGCATGTTCAGTTGTGGTGGATATTCTGAATACGGTCATCTTTATTCTGATTAATGTAAGCATTTAAACTGTAATATTAGCTTAATTTGGTTATGACGATCAGTTTAATGTGTCTACATGCCACATACATAAGTACGTTTTTTATATCTATTTAGCGAAATCGTATATAGATAATAGATAATGTCTATATGTGACTCCATTTTTTCAAATGCCTTTAGCTGTAACTGAGTACATATGCTGAAAATTTCATATCACATCTGTTTGCCTCAGAAAGCTGTTTGGAAATGTCTTCACCAAGATTGTGATGCCTGTTTTTGCATATGTGGAAGTGGGAGAAGAGTGTGACTGTGGACCAAGAGAAGTGAGTTCATGTGATACACTAGACAGCACTCAAAAAAAATGTATATATACATATATATTATATAAGCTTACAGTATTCAGCTTTGTGTGTACTTACGTGTGTGTGTGTGTGTGTGTGTGATATAGGAGTGCATTAAAGAGTGCTGTAAAAAGTGTTCTCTGTCTAACGGTGCTCACTGCAGCGACGGACCCTGCTGCAATAACACATGTCTGGTGAGAGTCAGTCATACAGTACAGTCATTTTTTTAAATATATTTTTATTTATTAAAAATGTATTTTTTAAAATATGTACCCCTGACACTGCAGCCCGTTGTACGTGGCCCCCCAGCCGGTGGTTGAGGCATCTGCGTCAACCACAGCATGTCTGAAGACCTGTTCTAGGGGCACTCCTGTTCTAGGGATTGTGTTGAAAGGTGCTCCACGCATTCTGTTTATCATTATTTACAGGCCTCCAAAATACTCTCCAGCCTTTGTTAAAGAGTTCACAGAACTGTTATCAGAGTTTGACTGTTTTGCTAATGCACGGGATTTTAATATTCACATACCTGTAGATAATGCACAAATCAAAACTACAAAAGAAATTATAACTGTTTTAAACGCGTTTGAACTGATTCAGTATGTGCATGGACCCCACACACAATCGTGGACACACTCTAGATTTAATCATCAGCAGAGGTCTAAACATTTCATCCATTGCTATTAAGGATGTAGCACTATCTGATCACTTCTGTATTTTTTTTGATATATTGATCTCTGCTACCACTGAATCTAGATCTGTCTCTGTCAGAAAGAGATGCATTAACGAGAACAATAGTGTGCTATTTATGCCTAACTTTACTTTCATGAGTGTTTGCAGGACTGTTAGGAGAGGTGGAGGTGTAGCTGCTCTATTTAAAGATGTCTATCAATGCAAGCAAGTGTCATTTGGTCAGTACTTGTCTTTTGAATATCTAGGGATTGTGTTGAAAGGTGCTCCACGCATTCTGTTTATTATTATTTACAGGCCTCCAAAATACTCTCCAGCCTTTGCTGAAGAGTTCACAGAAATGCTATCAATGATTTCCTCAGAGTTTGACTGTTTTGCTATTGCAGGGGATTTTAATATTCACATAGATAATGCAGAAAACAAAACTACAAAATAAATTATAACTGTTTTAAACACTTTTGACCTGATTCAGCATGTGCATGAACCCACACACAATCGTGGACATACTCTAGATTTAATCATCAGTAGAGGTTTAAACATTTCATCCATTGTTATTAAGGATGTAGCACTATCTGATCACTTCTGTATTTTCTTTGATATATTGATCTCTGCTACCACTGAATCTATATCTGTCTCTGTCAGAAAGAGATGCATTAACGAAAACACTAGTGTGCTATTTATGGAGGCTATATCTTTAACACCAAGCATTTCTGCAGACTCTGTTGATCTTCTCCTTGATTCCTTTATCTCAAAACTTAAGAATGTTATTGATGATATTGCTCCTGTGAAAGTAAGCAAGAAGACTGGCAGACAAAAAGCACCCTGGAGAAAATCAACAGCAGTACAGAGTATGAAAAGACAATGCAGAAAAGCTGAGCGGATGTGGCGGAAGACGAAACTTGAAATTCACTATAGCATCTATAAAGACAACCTTCATGCTTTCAATGTGGAGCTAGCCACAGCCAGACAGACTTTCTTCTCAAACCTTATAAACAGTAACTTAAACAACTCTCGCACTCTTTTTGCTACTGTTGAGAGACTGACAAACCCCGCAAGTCAGATTGCCAGTGAAATGCTCTCCGACAGCAAATGCAATGAGTTTGCTTCCTTCTTTTCTGAGAAGATCAATAATATCAGGAAGGCGATTAGCACATCCCCAAGTTATGCAGAGGTTAGACAGATTCGACCACAATATCAAAAAGAAGATACTATGTCTGCTTTTGAAGAAATTGATAGCAAAATTTTGGAAGAAATAGTACAGCACCTTAAATCGTCAACCTGCTATCTTGACACACTTCCCACATATTTTTTCAAAAGGGTGCTTAACTGTTTAGAAGCAGATCTCTTAGAAGTGGTGAACGCCTCACTTCTTTATGGGACTTTTCCAAACTCCCTGAAAACTGCAGTTGTTAAACCCCTTCTGAAAAAGAGCAATCTTGATAACACCATATTGAGCAACTATAGACCAATATCAAACCTTCCTTTTATAGGAAAGATTATTGAAAAGGTAGTCTTTAATCAGCTGAACAAATACTTAAACTCAAATGGATACCTGGACAATTTTCAATCTGGTTTTCGACCGCATCACAGCACAGAGACAGCGCTCATTAAGATAATAAATGATATTCGCTTAAATTCTGAATCTGGCAAAATATCAGTGCTGGTACTACTAGATCTCAGTGCTGCGTTTGACACTGTCGATCATAACATACTACTAGAGAGACTGGAAAACTGGGTCGGGCTTTCTGGGATGGCAATCAAATGGTTCAGGTCATACTTAGAAGGGAGAGGTTATTATGTGAGTATAGGAGAGCATAAGTCTAAGTGGACGTCCATGACATGCGGAGCTTAAACAACACTCGCACTCTTTTTGCTACTGTTGAGAGACTGACAAACCCCGCAAGTCAGATTGCCTGTGAAATGCTCTCCGACAGCAAATGCAATGAGTTTGCTTCCTTCTTTTCTGAGAAGATCAATAATATCAGGAAGGCGATTAGCACATCCTCAAGTTATGCATAGGTCAGACAGATTCGACCGCAATTTCAAAAAGATGTCACTATGTCTGTTTTTGAAGCAATTGATAGCAAAATTTTGGAAGAAATAGTACAGCACCTTAAATCGTCAACCTGCTATCTTGACACACTACCCACATCTTTTTTCAAAAGTGTGCTTAACTGTTTAGAAGCAGATCTCTTACGAGTGGTTAACACCTCACTTCTTTCTGGGACTTTTCCAAACTCCCTGAAAACTGCAGTTGTTAAACCCCTTCTGAAAAAGAGCAATCTTGATAACACCATATTGAGCAACTATAGACCAATATCAAATCTTCCTTTTATAGGAAAGATTATTGAAAAGGTAGTCATTAATCAGCTGAACAAATACTTAAACTCAAATGGATACCTGGAAAATTTTCAATCTGGTTTTCGACCGCATCACAGCACAGAGACAGCACTCATTAAGATAATAAATGATATTCGCTTAAATTCTGAATCTGGCAAAATATCAGTGCTGGTACTACTAGATCTCAGTGCTGCGTTTGACACTGTCGATCATAACATACTACTAGAGAGACTGGAAAACTGGGTCGGGCTTTCTGGGATGGCAATCAAATGGTTCAGGTCATACTTAGAAGGGAGAGGTTATTATGTGAGTATAGGAGAGCATAAGTCTAAGTGGACGTCCATGACATGCAGAGTCCCACAAGGCTCAATTCTTGCACCGCTCTTGTTTAGCCTGTATATGCTCCCACTAAGTCAAATAATGAGAAAGAACCAAATCGCCTATCACAGCTATGCAGATGATACCCAGATTTACCTAGCCTTATCTCCAAATGACTACAGCCCCATTGACTCCCTCTGCCAATGCATTGATGAAATTAACAGTTGGATGTGCGAGAACTTTCTTCAGTTAAACAAGGAAAAAACTGAAGTCATTGCATTTGGAAACAAAGATGAAGTTCTCAAGGTGAATGCATACCTTGACTCTAGGGGTCTAACAACTAAAAATAAAGTCAGGAATCTTGGTGTGATTCTGGAGACAGACCTTAGTTTCAGTAGTCATGTCAAAGCAGTAACTAAATCAGCATACTATCATCTCAAAAACATTGCAAGAATTAGATGTTTTGTTTCCAGTCAAGACTTGGAGAAACTTGTTCATGCCTTTATCACTAGCAGGGTGGACTATTGTAATGGTCTCCTCACCGGCCTTCCCAAGAAGACCATTAGACAGCTGCAGCTCATCCAGAACGCTGCTGCCAGAATTCTGACTAGAACCAGAAAATCTGAGCATATTACACCAGTCCTCAGGTCCTTACACTGGCTTCCAGTTATATTTAGGATTGATTTTAAAGTACTTTTACTCGTTTATAAATCACTCAATGGCCTAGGACCTAAATACATAGCAGATATGTTCACTGAATATAAACCTAACAGACCACTCAGATCATTAGGATCAAGTCAGTTAGAAATACCAAGGGTTCACACAAAACTGAAAGTAACGGTTGGATGTGCGAGAACTTTCTTGAGTTAAACAAGGAAAAAACTGAAGTCATTGCATTTGGAAACAAAGATGAAGTTCTCAAGGTGAATGCATACCTTGACTCGTAGGGGACAAACACTAAAAATCAAGTCAAGAATCTTTGTGTGATTCTGTAGTCAGACCTTAGTTTCAGTAGTCATGTCAAAGCAGTAACTAAATCAGCATACTATCATCTTAAAAACATTGCAAGAATTAGATGTTCTGGTTCCAGTCAAGACTCGGAGAAACTTGTTCATGCCTTTATCACCAGCAGGGTGGACTATTGTAATGGTCTTCTCACCGGCCTTCCCAAGAAAATTATTAGACAGCTGCAGCTCATACAGAATGCTACTGCCAGAATTCTGACTAGAACCAGAAAATCTGAACATATCACACCAGTTTTTAAAGTACTTTTACTTGTTTATAAATCACTCAATGGCCTAGGACCTAAATACATTGCAGATATGCTCACTGAATATAAGCCTAACAGACCACTCAGATCATTAGGATCGAGTCAGTTAGAAATACCAAGGGTTCACACAAAACAAGGGGAGTCCGCTTTCAGCTATTATGCCGCCCGCAGTTGGAATCAGCTTCCAGAAGAGATCAGATGTGCTCATATATTAGCCATATTTAAATCCAGACTCAAAACTCATCTGTTTAGCTGTGCATTTAAAGAATGAGCACTGTGCTACGTCCGAACTGATTGCACTGTATTTTATATATAATAATTTCCTATTTTTAACTGTTAAATTCATTTTAAATCAATTTTTAAATCATTTTGAAAGTTTTTAAATTCCTTGTTTTATTGTTGTGATTATTTTTTATGATTATTGTACTTCCTTTTATGTAAAGCACTTTGAATTACCATTGTGTATGAAATGTGCTATATAAATAAACTTGCCTTGCCTTACTATTTAAGTACAAGTGCACATTCAATACAATTAAGCACACTTCTTTTTCAAAAGGCATGTGTGAGAGCTGTCTCTCTTTCTCTCTTTGCCTCAGTTCTATCCTCGGGGTTACTCGTGCCGCTATGCAGTAAACGATTGTGATATTTCAGAGACGTGCTCAGGAGACTCAGGGCTGGTCAGTGGCATACAGTATCAGCACTACTTGAAAGACATTTAACGGTCTGATTATCCATGTTTTTACTGAACCTTTCTTTTTGTGTGTGTGTGTGTGTGTGTTTGCAGTGCCCTCCCAACCTACACAAGCAGGACGGTCACTTCTGCTCTCTCAACCAGGTAACCACAACAAAAACATAACCGCTACAGTGCCAGTTTACTCTGAAGAAATGCCATATTTAATACATATCTACAAGCCATCAATTGATTATTTATAAACTGATTAAAAGCCATTAAAGCTGCTAATCCACTGAAACATGATGATGATATTATTTATTAGTGGTCGACCAATAAGGGTTTTTGTAAATGGCCATTGACGTTATCTATACAGTAGAAAGCAGGGTGAGCGAAGCCAAGTCCTTTTGTGATCTTAAAGCCCTTTCTGATATAAAGGCTTATGCTTGAATCCTAGAAATTCGTTTTGTAGACAAATGTCAGTACATAAATTAAAATATCTTTACAAAATTAACTTTAAAAGTTACATGATAAGAAACAAAGAGTCGTCATGCAGGGTTATTTAATTTTTTTTTTATTTGCATTTTTGGTTAATACATAATTCACCTACTTCCATTTGAGTAATTTCATAACTTTGATGACTTATTCTACTATTACTTTATTGGTAATAATAATGGTAGAAATTTATTAAATTAATAAGAAGTAAATCAATGAAATTTAAATGCACTTATGAGAAATAAAAAAACAACACTGAAAAGAGTAATGGTAGCCATTTGCATTCATTAACTGTATTAAATTGATAATTAGACAAATATAAATACTTTCTCAAAATATTTGAAAATTGCATTAGCCCTAAATAATTAGCATATTTTGGTCAAGCAGGCACTGTTATTTGTATTGATGTTAATTATCTTAAAAAGGCCAGTAATTGGCTGATTAATCTGCCTGATCGATATCTCTTTCACTATTAATTAGTGAGACTTTATTGTCTTTGCAGGGTCGCTGCTATACTGGGGAGTGCAAGACGAGAGACAGTCAGTGTAAATATGTGTGGGGTCCAAGTGAGTGACCATTTGCCGTTGTCATTAACAGCCAATCAGCAGTCTGCTCCACTATGGATGAAGTAACACAGAAGTAAACTATTTTCTAAAGAGCCCCTAAAGGGACACAGTGATGGCAAAAATAAATAATAAATAAATACAAAAATGTAAAAAAAAAATAATAAATAGACAGGAGGAAAAATTATATATTTCAGTGCTTTGCATTTTCTCACAAAACTTTTGCTTTCACCCCCAAGAAATTGAAAGTTTTTCGGGGAGCGCAAAAGTTTTGCTAGTGAAGCAAAGATTATCGGGGGAGCGCAATACTTTTGCAATAGAACGCTAAAGTTTTGCGAGAGAACACAAAAGCATTTAAATATACTTTGTTCTCCTATCTCATTTTTTTTTTTATCACCATGTCCCCTAGAGGCTCCATAGTTTTCTTTTCCGCTACTGGTTAATAACTGTAAGAATAACAGTGCAGTAAATGGTAAAACTATTTGCACTACAAACCAGTGTGTTTATGAGTGCAATAATAAATTAATATAACAAATACCACTTTGCAGAATCAAGCAGCATAATGGACTGCTTTTTTACAGCTAAAATAACTGGAAGCAAATGACCCCGGAAACTTCGCACATTGAAGTTACAAATGTCTGCATATATATATATATATATATATATATATCCTGAAGTTTATTCTCTCTTTCCCTTGTTTCCCATTTTCACTCTTTTTTTCTGTTTTCATACAGAGGCTGCGAGTTCGGAGAAGTTCTGTTATGAGAAGCGGAACACAGAGGGCTCAGAGAAGGGAAACTGCGGTCAAGACAGAGACAAATGGATCCAGTGCAGTAAGCAGTGAGTTATAAACCATGACGAACTCAACACTACAATGCTTAGGGCACTATGGGTGCCCAAGTCAAAATACCCCACCAATCACTATGATATTCTGGTCTAGATACGTCTCATGTCCTAGTGGATTTTTCACAGTTATTTATTTATTGATTTGTTTTTCACCAGGAAAAAAAAATATATACATTTGATTGCTTAGACAAGTAATAGCACAAGTCTCCTCAAAAAGCGTCATGATGTGAAGTAAAATGGTTACAAATAACAAACTAGAGCTACAACCAACTCCTGAGACCTTTTTAAAACTTTAACTTTGTAACACCTGCTACATTTCCATTTGGAATCTGTGTACAGTTAAATATAAATGGTCATAAAACCGGACTTATACTTTGAAGTGATGCTGTCAGATGCTCGTGCTGCGAACCTCTACAGATCATGGTGCTTATTTATTTACTTTCATTTTCAGTTCGAATCATTGTTTCAGTCTGCACATTTCTTATATTTTGTGTTGAACTCTGTGGAACTGATGAGCAAAGGTGCAGAAAAAAAGACAAACAGCTTAAATATTTTATGATCATTGTCAAATGTTTTAACATTCATTCTTTACTAGCTTCATGCGTAATTTAAGATGTTTATTGTTACACTACATTTGAAAATGTGTAGATAATGTTACTAAACATATCTACTTTGTCTTTTGATTTGATTTATTTGTTCTTTAGAAAACTGAAACCAAGTATAGATAACATGATTGGTCATAACTATTTTTATGGAAACACAAACATGTTTTTTTTTTATTTGTTGGATTATATACACTTAGATATTATTATTATTTTACACTGTAATATGCATATTTATTTATTTCTGGTAAAAGCTAGCATTGTCAATAGAATAAAATCAATTGACCTGTTGTTCAGCTTTAGACAGTCTTTGGAAGCAGAATCAAACAGTATTGTCAAATATTGTGAATGTGTTAAAACTTTTTTCACAGACCCTCTAGCACCCTCTTGTTTCCCCTGGGGTCCCCGGATGTTCTTTACAGTAGAGTCACTGTGATTTTTGTGCTGTCTCTATTGCAGTGATATATTTTGCGGATATCTGTTGTGCACTAACACTGACCAAATCCCACGGATTGGAACTATAAAAGGAGAAGTCACTTCTACTCATTTTAACCATCAGGGCAGACTGATTGACTGCAGGTAAGACACACAATATGTGATCAGTACGTTTTTATCATGTATGATAATCAGAATCTATTTCAGTTCCAGCCATTAGCATTTTATCATTGTATCACTGAGATTACGCTGGCAGGATCACACACACACACACACACACACACACACACACACACACACACACACACACACACACACAGTTTTGTCAGCGGTGGCCACGTCTTGCTGGATGATCAGACTGATCTCGGGTATGTCGAGGATGGAACTCCATGCAGCCCATCTATGATGTGTCTGGACAGGAAGTGTCTCCCTCTTCAGTCTCTGAACATGAGCTCCTGTCCCACCGGACTCAACGAACACGTCTGTTCCAGTCACGGGGTGAGACTGTTGAGCTTTACTCATTTACTCTGAGCATCCATTTCTCATTATACTTAGAAATGAATACTTTCAGTAATACACAGAAATAATTAATGTGATTTGTATTATATGGTGAATTTAAATAGGTGTGCAATAATGAGGCGACGTGTACATGTGACACAACGTGGGCGGGGACAGACTGCAGTATGCCTGACCCTCCAAAAGTACTGCCCCCTGCTGAAGATGAAGGACCCAAGGGTCTGTTGCTCTGCTCCTACACAAACACAGATGCAAACACATACAGAGACAGTGGAGCTTCTTCATAAAACAACGGCAGAAATGATAGTTATTACAGTCTGGTTATTTTGAATGGATTTGTGATTGATTTACATGGAAAATCATTATGTCCAAAAGGCTCAAACGTTCAGTTGTTTGGGGTCCAAGACTGCATTTAATTAATCAAAAATGCAGTAAAAACGAATAAAAAAAATAAAATAAAAAAAAACTTCTAACTGAATATAAAATGTAATTCTGATGTAAAGCTGAATTTTCAGCATCATTACTCCAGTCTTCAGTGTTACATGATCCTTCAGAAATCAGTCTAATATGCTGATTTGATGCTCAAGAAACAATTAATATTATCAATGCTGAAAACAGTTGTGCTGCTTCGTATTGTTATGTAAATCTTGATAAATTTTTCAGAATTATTTGATTAAAGGGGTCATACGATGCGATTTCAATTTTTCCTTTCTCTTTGGAGTGTTACAAGCTCTTGGTGCATAAAGAAGATCTGTAAAGTTGTAAAGACTAAAGTCTCAAATCAAAATCGACGCGTTTCAGAAAGGCGGGGCATAGAGGAGAAACAATAATGTACAATATGTGGAAAATAATGTGTTTTTTAACCTTAAACCGCATAAACACATTTCGTTACACCAAATACACAAAATAATGTTCTTTTTAGCAGCATCATATGACCCCTTTAATGGAAAGTTCAAAAGGAGCATTTATTTGAAAAGGAAATATTTTGTAGAGACCCGATTCACACCAAGAACAATAACTTTAACGATAACTATATTAGCATCCACACCAACAGATGATAATCTTTTGTTTATTAAAGTGTGTGCTTCTGTTTTTTAAGCTGCTTAAATTCTCAACCGCTTTATAGTGTGATGGATTGTGATTGGCTGCCAATGTTTTTAACAGTCATCAGCTGGAAAAATCATTCTGTAAGTGATTTCAGCGATATTGTGTTATCATGGAAATGTATGGATGTCGGTATTCTCATGGAAATTGAATGATAATTATAACTTTTTAGTTACAGTTGTAGTTATAGTTATCATTCTTGGTGTGAAAGGGCTATAATAATGTAAATGTCTTTACTGTCACTTTAAAATACATTGTCTCTGTTCCTATGCATAGGGGTGCTTACAGACTTATAGATGGAATAGCAGCAGATGTTTCTGACTTTGGAAGTGGCCTGTGGTGGGATTTGAGAAAGTGCTGCTTTCTAAAGTGCAGTGACCCCAATGATGCATGTCAGTACCATCAAGTCAGTTTTATTTATGACAGAGTAAGAAAAAAAACTCATATCTTAGACGCACCGACTTAGGAAGACAGGAAGAGATTGTTTGACCAACCTGTGAAGTGATTAACCACAGTTTATTACTTAGTTTTTATATGCAGTGTTATTGGCTGACCTCCAGTACTAAAATACAAAAAACTTTTAAAGGAGGCAAAGGTGGCATAAAAATGCTTGACCTTGTAAAAGCACATAAGGTTTTGCTGGAAAATAAATGTTGAGATCTAGAGAAGCAAAGCTCATGTCCCGTTTTCCCACACTTGCCCAAACAGGTCCTAGTGCCACCAATCTCATCATAGGGTCGATTGCAGGGGCCATCCTGGTGGCAGCTATAGTCCTGGGGGGGACAGGCTGGGGGTTTAAGTATGCACTGGTCTGCATGTCTCTTCGCTCTAACTACACCCACCACGGTTTGGGTTTCTGCTGCAGACGCTGTACCAGGACAGAAACGTGTGTGAAGTACTGAGAGCCAGAGGCAAATAATGCAGAACTCTGAGTGTTAATTCTGGTCTAAAACCTGCAAAAGTCACTGCAGCAGAACCTCAAACCAGCTTGAAGGGCCCAGCTGAAATCTTGACCTGCATGTTAAAATGACACACAACCTCAGTTGTCATTCACCACCTGCAAGCCTCACAGACTGGCATTCACAGCACAAGCTGGAGAGGCTGAATCTACTTGGTGCAGAAAAAGTTTTCTCATGTCAGGAATAGATAGCTTGGAATCAACTGAAACTTGCAGCTTTAAAACGTTCAGACAGTAATTTAGTGAATTGTATTCAATGCTATACAGTGCAATTAAATGCTATACTATTCAGTGCAATTAAATATATGATTAAATATAGCCACAATATTCTACTGTGGTCATCTTTTGGACTCAAACATAACATATACTTTTCTTACACAAAAAGCCGCACAACCATATACCGCATTAGCAGCTGTTCCTATGGGCCGCTATATGCAAGCTGTCCGCCATATTGCCAAATGTACTAACAACCATTTATGGTAAACTAAAATATACTGTAATGTCATTTCTATTGAAATGTGTGTATTGTGTATTTAAATATGTAATACAGTAATTTTAAATGTACTAATAATTACAAATATGTATTGCAATTACATATTTGTAATGATTAGTACATTAAAAATTAACTTTAAATGTAATTATTAAATTATAATCAAGTACTTTACATATGCTTTTGTATGTTAGTCAACACATCACAATAAGTGTACTTCTTTTAAGCACGACAAAAGATGATTGAAACAATTTTCATTACACCAAATACACCAAATACTGTTCTTTTTAGCAGCATCATATGACCCCTTTAAAACTTTTAATTTGACAACATAATCATGAAAGTGTCTCTCTTTAAGTGGCTTTTTATTTCATTAAGAATATATTATCTGCAAATAAATTTTTTAAAATATGATTTTAGGATTTGAAGTAAACTACAGTACAAGTGAACATTCAGTACAAATAAGTGCAATTATTTTTCACAAGGAATGTATTTTTAAAAATTGGTTTCTAAAGTGACTGATGAGCAGCATCTGAAATGTTGACCGTTCCAAGATGGCAGACACGTTGACATGTCTGGAGCAGTCTAATATGGTATTTAGTATAGATATCTATGCATAGTTTTGACTGGTCTCTTAATTTTTTACAATGAACTGCATATTCACAAGCAGTTTTAAAGGGCTTTTTCACCCAAAAATAAAAATCCTGTCAGCATTCACTCACACTCTTGTCATTCCAAATGTATGACTTTCTTTCATCTGTGGAGCACAAGCAAATGCTTAGTACAATCCCAGTATTGTATAGAATTGTATAAATTCCATTCCATTACAATCCTACATATGTTTGAGATGATCCTACATATGTTTGAGATGTCTTGAAGCACATGTCTAAACACGACAATAACATTGGCCGGCGACAGCATATTACTTCACTACACTATGTCATCCTCTTCTTCGTCTTCATTGCCAGTAGTCAATATGCGGGACGACCTGTCAAATTTTTTGATGGATGGTGACCTCTGACCTGACCCCCTCTCTGGGGTTCACCTTTGACCTTTTAATAATCTCCAGATCTCAGTATACCATATGGTTATAGTATATGTGGAATTCCGGCATTGACCTGTGACTTTTTAATTATTATAATTCCGTCGTGACCCGTGACCTCCGGGGGAGTAATATGAGCTTTGTCCCACTTTGAACTCTTGACAGGCCAAAATCAAACTTTTCAGGCTCATTTTCAACAATTTATATCCGGGCACATCTGCAGACCACATGTGGATATCTTGCCACATTCCATTGCAGGGTATTTTCTGGTCACTCTACAATTATGTGAGAAAAACAAGATTGTAATGATGAACAAACAATATCATACCAAAATTGTAAAGATATTTATAATACTTTTAAAAAATTATATTTAAAAATAACAATGGTTATTGTGATGTGTGCACTCACATGTATTCAGAGTATAAGGAAAATATTTTATCACCCATTAGTTAAAGTTAAGGCATTAAGCAATACACTAACAGTTACTTACACTTAAAGTAATTATTAATTATTTGTAAATGCCAGTTAAAAAAACAAATGGTTGCTCATTGTTAGTTCATGTTCATTCAGGTCCATTAAATAATATTAACAGACAGAACTAAAGTAGCATTAACTAAGACTAATAATGCTTTAGAAGTATTTTTCATTGTAGTACATGTGAAATAATATTAACTAAATTACTTTTTACTTGATGGTTACAGTACATGACATGTTGGAGTCATTCAATTTTAAACTAAACTAAATTTAAACTAAACTAAATTTAAAAAACGAGGTAACAGATACAAAGCGTACATTTCTGTGAACTTGACACAAACTAGATTTTGTAAAGAAATTTTTTCATCTTGGAAATGCATTTCACCTAAAATCTCCAACTCTCATGAAAATGAAGGAAGGAATGTTTACACATTCCACAATGTGTAAACAACTTAAGTACGTAAGCAACACATTTCAGTGGCCATGTGCTAATCTATGTTAGATTGTAGAATTTCATTCTTCTTATTTGAATGCTGTGGAGCTGAAACAGTCTCAGTTATGATTAATTTCATCTCAAAAACAGTTGTGTTTCCCAATAACCTTTTTCTTTCCTCTTCTTCCAAACAACAAGAAACGTCAAACGGCGAGGATATGATCCAAATGCATCTGCCATCTAGTGGACAGAAGGAACACTCCAATCTCCAGAGCTTCTCTATTCAGCTGGCCTGAGGTTTTTGCTGCTCTTTTCTGGCATTAGTTATACTTGAAAATATTATACCTAATAGTAAAGAATTCAACCAACAATACCTTAGTTATGTAGCTCCACCGCTTTTTATAAGCTCCACCCTTCTCTCACTGAGCCATCTTTATTGACATATCTCCCTCTACCCTAGCAGCCAATCAGATCATTCTTACATTAGAGAAGCATGACATGACAGCAGCCTGGCTGTGGCACCTGTTTGAAGGTTTTGCATGGCTAATGCCCATATTCAGCAGAATACAGCATAACAACCTGAAGAGCATTACTTTTACCAACACGATCTCAGATCCCCATCATTTCTTGATTGTTTATTTGACAGAAGTAATTGATAGCTGCATGGCTCAGCCTTAGAGACATCTTGAGTTTAATTATGGGATATGCTTGATTCTACATATATATTGTAAATAGCCAGAGACATTTATAGGAATAGCTCATACAAAAATGAAAATTCTGTCATTAGTTACTCACTTTCATTTTGTTCCAATACTGTGCACTGTGGAACACTAAAGAAGATGTCAAGCAGAATATTATGGCAACTCTTCTCCATACTCTGAATGTGATAGGCGACAAGGTCTGATAACGTCAAAAAAAACAAAAAAAAAAGCTGAGTGAAACTACTATAGTACATAGATCAACAAGCAATTTGTCTATACCAGACAAGCCTACATGACACGACAAAATAAATCTAAAAGCCAATCAGAAGAGTGTGGGTGGGCTTTCTCTTTGCAAGCACTGCACTCGCAACAAACATCTAATTATTCAATATTAAACTAATTTACGATTATTCCAAATACATAATGAGTAATTGATAGTCTTTTTATAGAATGCACTTGTTTGTTCACATAGATTTCACAGTTTGAACATTCTTGTTTTCAAGATCTGAGGCAAAATATCCTTTCTCACTTTTTAGTATTAAAGTTCACACACAACAATGTGATGGGTCTAAATCATTTCAGCGAACCAGTTCTTTTGGATAGTTAGTTTCAATGAACTTATTTAAAAAAAAAAATAAAATTTAGTAGTTGATAATTTAGTTGAACTGGCTCATTCAGTCCTTGTGTGCTACTTTGGCTGTGCATCTTGCGCCATCAACCTGGAACTAAAGTTCAATGTAGTGAATCAGTTCGAATGGTTTCTTGCTACAGTATCAACTGGCTCAAAAGAATGATTGTTTAATTTAAACTCACATTAAACACTTTTATCACTAAATAAAGCACACAATCAGTATCCTGAGATTATCACTGTCACAGTTTGTATGCTGTTGTTCCAGCCGCGACATCACAGAAAAAAAAGTTTGTACAATCTGCTGTCACTTGTCGCGTATTGCCACCATGGCTGGTTAGAACAAAAATACTAATTAACATGGAAAAGATACCTTTTATTGCATGTCACGGCGTTAGGACACAGTGTTGTGTCCAGAGGTTGCAGCCTTCAAAATGAGACACTGTTCCATTCTGAAGGGCTCATCCCTATGGTGTGTTAGTGAGAGTTTCGAAAGATGAAGGGTTTAGGGGACCAAAAACTGTTCCTTGGAACACACATTTGTCATCTTGCTGAGCCAATTAAGGAGGTGTTGTAATTGCACAATTAGACCTGAGCAAAGAATCATGGGAGCGAAGTGTCCATAAGTGTCCTTCATTCCAAAGGGCCCTTTGAAGTGGCCAGTTTTGAGCACTTCGTTTTGGAACGATCCTTCTATATTGGCAGCAATGAATGTTCTCACTCCAAAGTGTCCTTCGGAAATGGATTTTTCCTATTTGGAATACAGCAATAATGTAGGCTAACTTTTAGTCTCGAATAGCAAGACCTTCAGACTGAAGGCGGAAGGTCTGGACTCCATAGCAGCTTTCAGTGGCCAAGGACCACGGTTGTCTGATCGACATGTTAAGCAAGTTTCTACAGTTTCGTTTTTTGTTCAGTATCATGTTTAGGGGCATGAAAATGAAAAGTCGATGTCCGTACAATAACAGACCAGTGCAATTCATTTAAGAATAACGTGCACGTTTGCTGCAACAATGGTGCTGTGAACATCGTATACTTTTGAAAGTCCAGCGTTTAGTTGAATCTGATAAGCGCTCATTAACCCCTTTAGTCGCGTTAGTTGTTCTTTGGCTCTGTGCTGATGGTTTGAGGCGTAATCGTAAAATAGTTCCATCCATATGTCCATCCATCGGTTTTCCTAATAACTTGCCCTGTGTAGAGTGGCAAAATTATGGAGCACCACACCTGACATGGGGAATCAAAAATAGATATTGTGACTACGAATTAAGAATTAATATACACTACATTTTATTAATTTGTTCCCCCATTTTAATTTAGTTCAGTCGTGGTCAAGAGGGAATTAATTAATAAGTTGTGGTAACAAATTCTTAAAGGGGTCATATGATGCGATTTCAAGTTTTCCTTTCTCTTTGGAGTGTTACAAGCTGTTTGTGAATAGATAAGGTCCCTAAAGTTGCAAAGACTAAAGTCTCAAACCCAAAGAGATATTCTTTATAAAAGTTAAGACTCGTCCATGCCCTCCTAAAACACCTCGTTTAAACACGCCCCCACATGTCTACGTCACTGTGTGGGAAGATTTGCATAACACCGCCCAAATGTTCACGCAAAGAAAGGCGGCGGAATGGCGCGATGCAACGCAACGCGTAAAAAGACAGTATAAGTCATTATAATCTGTAATTATGTCCACACTGAATGCAACAAATGGCTCGTTTATAATGGTGTGACGAGTGAGGCGGGGCAGAGAGCTGTGGGAACGGAGCGAGGCCGGTGGAGTTAATGATAATGCGCGACACCTGTGCCACTCACTGGTCTCGAGTCCCACGGAGGAGCTCTGGAAGGATAAAAGGACGAGAGAAGACCAGATCTGGATTTTATGTTGTTTTGTTTCTGTTTGTGCACGGCAGTTGCCGTGAGGGGCTGTCGTGCTATTTTAAGTTGTGTTTATATTATTATTAAAGTTTTGTTTACATGTACGCCGGTGTATTTCCATGTATACATGTATTTCCGTCACACGCTTGAGGTATTCGGCCAATCACAACGCACTGGATAGCTGGCCAATCAGAGCACACCTCGCTTTTCAGACCGATGAGCTTTGTAAAAATCGGCGCGTTTCAGAAAGGCGGGGCATAGAGGAGAAACAATAATGTACAGTATGTGGAAAATAATGTTTTTTTAACCTTAAACCGCATAAACACATTGCATTACACCAAATACACAAAATAATATGTCATATGACCCCTTTAATTTGTGTTTCCGCAGGTCATGTGCCGGGCTCCATACAAAATAACTTATTCTTAGATAAAGATATAAGAGTAAATGACAGAATTTTCATTTTTGGGTGAATTATCTCTTTAAGGTGAATTATAATATTATTTATAACATAATTTTACTCCAATTTAAGGTAGGGTGAGTGATTTTTTTTTTTTACAGTGTACATTTAGTTCCCATTTTTAGGAATTTTCATGACTAAACTGTTGCTTTTTTAGCAAACATTAATGCAAAATGTTTTCAGTGAATGTTTATTTCATATAAATCCTGTATGTTTAATAGTGTGTATATATGGCACAATGTGCATTGATTTGTCTGTTGTTTGCTCTGACATGGGGCTATGCAGCTGAACATGATCTATAGATGCTGTGAATGATTAGGTGACTCTAAGCCAAAGATCTGATGTAAAAATGTAAGTTTGGGATGTTATATACAGCACTGTGATGTTGTTCCCCTGCTGAGACGAGGTAGTGTTATAGTAACTGATCACCTGAAACACATGCAATAACCTGATCAGTCCTACCTTGTTTCATCTGTTTAACTTTGCCACACAATTGTAATTGTACAGACGGTCAGATTTTCAATACATATTATTCAGACCCTATTATATGGCCTTTCTCATCATCCATCTCCCTCAGCTGTCAGTGCTGCTAACCCTACTGGAAATGATGCATGAATTTACTATAGTGGGCTCATTATTCTGTAAGTATGAGGGCCCAACCCCATATGAATATGTATATTACAGAGATTGTGCTGTGCTGTTTGTGCATGTCAGCTACAAAACTTTTATTTACTATGCAAACAAACTTGTTGCACAAAGCGAAGGGTTAAAACAGTAAAATACCACACTGAAGTCTCACAGTTGACCCTGTTTTTTTAGCCATATGATAGTTACGCTGAGCTTCACATATCAGGAACAATAACATTTTGTTGCTTTAATAAATAATCATCCTTTAATAAAAAGGAATGAATGTATTATCTTTTGTTAAAAATGTAAACTCATTTTGCAGAATTAAAAATAATTCCCAGGTTATTTTTCACATTTGAGGTTTCAGGTTCAATTTTGGACACTTGCCTTTTATATTTTCTTTGTTTTTCATCAGCACTGGTCATTAGCCTAAATGTTCCGCCATTTACCTGCTGCTGTTACTCTAAACTATAAGAGAAAGTCATCGAAATAAACAATAAAATCAACAGTATTTTACACCTCTGCCTGTAGTTTCTGTTTATTTAATCTGGGATGTTTTGCATGGTGGTTTGAGGTGGTGAGCTGTGAATAGTAAGGCCTGAAGAAAGAAAGTCCTCTGAGATGGCATGGTTGAGGAAATGATGAGAGAATTTAAATTTTGGGTGGAGTATACCTTTAAAGTAGTTAATGGATAAGCTAATAACATTTTTTCTTCCATTATTTCCTCTGCCCGCAAAAGCCATAGCAATGTGAGTAAACTGTTGCCAACTTTGTTCAATGGAAATTAGCTAAAGCCTGCTCAAAAAGTTGCTAAATTACCCATGTGCTAATTAGCATATTCATGACGTAAATACGTCGTATTTGCATTCTGCCTAGTGTCAGCCTATACATATGTCAGCGTTTTACATATTTTTGCTTCTCTCCTACTCTCTGTGCTCACGTACTGTATTTCAATGCCG